AGGGTCTTCCTTCCATTGGTTCACCCCCCAAATGGCTGCCACGGCCGGCGTGCTGTGCCGATCTGAAGCCAGGAGCCAGGTGCTTCCTCCTGGTCTCCTGTGTGGGTGCAGGGCCCAAGCACCTGGGCTATCTTCTACTTCACTTCCAGGCCACAGCAGAGAGCTGGACTGGAAGAGGGACAGAATCCGGCACCCCAACCGGGACTAGAACCCGGGGTGCTGGCCCTGCAGGCGGAAGATTAGCCAAGTAAGCTGCAGCGCTGGCCCACCATGTAGTTTTCATTACCCTTTCCTCGCTCTCCTTTCATGCCATTCCTCTACAACAAAGTAAGGGCAGGCATTTTTCCTGACTTACTGATGACAACATTGAAGCTCTGAAAAGTTAGGATGTTTTCCTAGGGTAGATCAATGCATAAATTCTGGTTTTGTTTACTTCATATTTTCTTTATATTATATGGTACCCATGGATTTAGATCTAACAGATAATGTGATATTTTGGTTTTTCTATATGATACCCACATGCACCCTTTTGATACCTTAGTAAACAAATAAAGAAAATGGTGTTACTAGATTAAGTCACTGCCCATATGAACAAGTCATATATTTTCTTTTTATGGGAGAAATGTGTTAATTCAATAGGCATTAAGTGACTTTTATGCAGTCATCCCTGTAATATCAAGAGCTAGTGGGGACTTGCAGGTCCTGTGTACATCCTTCTCATCCTGCAGGAATTTTCAGTGAACCTGAGGAAAGATGATAGGTACTCACCATTCTGGATAGCAGGCCTATTGAGTTGGCTTTCTGATTTGGGAGTGTTCCAGGTGAGGTGGAACATATCAACTAGAGGTTTTCTTTTTTTTTTTTTTTTTAAGGTTATTTATTCATTTGAAAGTCAGAGTTACAGAGAGATCTTCCATCCTCAGGTTCACTCCCCAAATGGCTGAAATGGCTGGATCTGGGCCTATCTGAACAGGAGCCAGGAGCTTCTTTTGGGTCTCCCATGTGGGTGCAGGGACCCAAGCCCTTGGGCTATCTTCTGCTTTCCCAGGCCAATCTCTAGGACTTTTTCATCGTGCAGAGCTAAAGCCCTCTACATGTTAAATTATAACAGGTCTCGGGGCCGGCGCCATAGTTCACTTGGTTAATCCTCTGTCTGTGGCTCCAGCATCCCATATGGGCCCCGGGTTCTAGTCCTGTTTGCTCAGTCCAGCTCTCTGCTGTGGCCCGGGAGGGCAGTGGAGGATGGCCCAGGTGCTTGGGCCCTACACCTGCATGGGAGACCAGGAAGAAGCACCTGGCTTCTGGCTTCAGATCAGTGCAGCGCCAGCCATAGCGGACATTGGGAGGTGAACCAATGGAAGGAAGACCTTTCTCTCTGTCTCTCTCTCACTGTCTGTAACTCTACCTGTCAAATAAAAAAATACTCTATTTAAAAAAAATTATAACAAGTCTCCATTTCCCTTTCCCCAGCTCTTGGAAACCACCATTTTCTTTCTAGCTATATGATTTTCACTACTCTATAAAGTTTTTTTTTTTTTTTGTAACTGGTTTATTTCACTTAGCATAATGTCTTCAAGGTTCATATGTGTTTACATGTTATAGCATGTGACAGAATTTTTTTCCTTTTTAAGGTAAATGATACTCATTGTATGTATATGCCACTTTTTTTTTTCATCAGTGTATAGACACGTGAGTTGCTTTTACCTTTTGGCCTTTGTGAATAATGCTGCCCTGAATGTGGGAGTATGACTATTTCTTGAGAGCTTGCTTTTTCTTTTGTTGCGTACATACCCAGAAGTACAACCACTGGATCATATGGCAATTATGTTTTCAATTTGTTTTAGAAACTGCTGTACCATTTTCAAAAGCAATAGTACCATTTTACACTACCAGCACATGTGCACAAGTTTTCCAGGTTCTCCATATTTTTGCCAGTGCTTCATATTCTTAATTTTTAAGGTTTGTTTATTCATTTGAAAGGCTGAGTAACAAGGAGAAGAAGAGATTTCTTTCATTCACTACTTCACTCCCCAAATGTCCACAATGGCCAGGGCTGGGTCAGGCTGAAGCCAGTAGCCCAGAGTTCCATTTGGATCTCGCTTGGGGGTGGCAGGGGCCCAATTATTTGGGCTGTTTTCTGCTGCTTTCACAGGCACATCAGCAGAAAGCTGGATTAACCGCTGGCACTATGGCGCAACGGGTTAAGCCACCATCTGCAGCACTGGCATCCCATGTGGGTGCAGGTTCAACTCCCGGCTGCCCCACTTCTGATCCAACTCTCTGCTAAAGTGCCTAGGAGAGCCCAGATGAAGCTTTTGGCTTCTGGCTTTGGCCTGGCCCAACCCTCGCCATTGTGGCCATTTGGCGAGTGAACCAGCAGATGGAAGAGCTCTTTGTCTCTCTTCTTTTTGTAACTCTGACTTTCAAATAAATGAATAAATCTTGAAAAGCAAGCAAGCAACTGGCTTGACAGTGGAGCTGCTGGGACAGCACAAGTGGCTGCTTAGTCCGCTTTGTCACAACGCCAGCCCCAGCACTTACTACTTTTTTGTGGCAGCCATCCTAAAGGATGTGAAATGGTATGATGAATGATGCTGAGTGCCTTTTCTTGTGCTTGTTGGTCATTTCTGTATCTTCTTTGGAACAACATCTGTTGAAGGTCTTTGCCCAGTTTTGAACTGGGTATTTGTTTTTTTGTTGTTGACTTGTGTGGGCTGTTTAAAAATTCTAAATATTAAATTCTTATCAGATATGACTTATAAGTTTTCTCCTACTGCATAGGTTACTTTTTCACTCTTTAGAGGATGTCCTTTAATGCACAGAAGTTCTTAATATATCACTTTTTGCTTTTGTTGCCTGTGCTCTTGTCATATTCAAGAAATCATTGCCAAATTCAGTGCCAGGAAGCTTTTCCTCTGTTCTAAGCATTTTGTATTTTTAGGTATTACATTTAGGTCTTTGATCCATTTTTTAAATTAATTTTTGTATACAGTGTAATGATTTACTGAGCTGTCATGAAAGAAAATCTCGAATGAAATTCCATCCAACACATAGGCATTTTATGTTATGTGTTCAATATTACTATGCATGGGATACCTATGAGGTCAGGGCATGTCTGGTTCACCACCTGAGTAGATGCTTGACTACAACTTGCAAGTGAGATTCATGTAATGCAGACACGAATGAGGCAGGATTCTGAGCCCCGTTATTGGCAACAGGCAAGGAGATGTCCTCCAAAACTACAGGCTGGATGAGCACCATCAGGGCACAATGGCCTTGACACCTTCCATTGCCTGAATCTTCAGCTATTCAAGTATGGGGTATTCTTTGACATTTTAGCCGATTCATTTATAGCAAATTACTTCAGTTTCTCCAGTGAGATATCATATCTAACATTCATCAGGTTAGTAAAATAAACTACTAATTTCACTGATGAAAAGCTATTCCTGATGTCCAGTAAGCTAAATAGTGAAGCTTCAGTGTTGATCACATTTGAATAGCTGAAATACTTAGCCACTTCTGAAATGTAGTCTTTTGTTGATAATATCCTAGCTCATCCCATAAACTGTATGCTTATTTAGGGCCAAAATTGAAACTAACTGATCCATACATTTTTTAAAAAAAGGATTTCTGTTTTATTTATTTGAAAGAGAGAGATAGAGACAGAGCGAGAGCGAGAGAGAGAGAAGGGGCTTCCATCTGCTGGTTCATTCCATTGGCTAGAGCTGAGCCAATCCAAAATCAGGAACTAGGAGCTTCTTTGCGGGGGGCTAAGGGGGACGGGGAGAGCCCACATGGGTGCAGGGACCAAGCAATTGGGCCATCTTCCACTGCTTTCCCAGGAACATTAGGAGGGAGCTGGATTGGAAGTGGAGCAGCCAAGACTCGAACTAGTACACATTTGAGATGCCAGCACTGCAGGCAGGGCTTTAACCTGCTGTGCCACAGCACTGGCCCCAATCCATAAATTTTTATATTACTGTTATTGTAATAGACCATGTTATACATTTTTAAATTAATTAAGCAAATTACAGAGACAGCAGCAAGTTGCCATTGGTTAAATCATGCATTTTGCAGCTCAACCTGGTGATTATAGTATTTGTGTAGTGCGTGTGTGTGTGTGTGTGTGTGCGTGTGTGTATGTTTAGTTTTCATTTCACTTCTAGGATTCTGTTGTTCCCTTTGCTTTACTGATGTTGATCAAAAAGTGCTAGAGAGATGTACATGAATAGAAAAATGTCACCAAGACAATATGCAGCATAGATATCTTGAGTGTATGTACTGTAAAAAGGTTAAACATATTGTTATTCTGAAATACTAATGAGCAGTTTTCCTTGAGGCAGCTTCCTTTGAGAGATTTCTAGTTTATCTCTGGGTGCTAGGTGTAGTTACGAGCCTTCTTCTCATTCTGTCCAGGTTCTGTTAGTCGGCGGTTGGCAAGGCCTTTCTTTGCCAGAAGATCCTCATCCATTTCTTTTATTCTTGGGAGGTTCATTTACTTTGTCAAGATTTCTTTCCTAATTAGTTTCTAGTTTGGACCCAAGATAAATCGGTTTCCTGGGTCTTTTGTTGTTGAAGGCAAGGACGCTATTGCCGTCCCATGGTGGCCAAGGACAGCCTGTTCTTTGACTTTCCCACAAGCATATAAACACTTTTTAAAGGGACATGATACTCTAATGACTTAAAGATTCTAGTTCAAGGAGTTCTGTATTGAGCGTCTGGTTGTCTCATAATTCCTTGTGTCTTCCTCCAAATGAAGAGACTTAGATTTTACAATTGAAAAGAAATTGACATAAGTATGGCTATGAAAATGAAATGACTGTGTCAAAGAATGTGTATCTCATGAATCATTGAAGCGTGGCACAAAAATGCCGTCCCAATGTTTTATATATGTGTGTATGTCTATGGGACTTAAATACACATGATTTTGCAATGTAGCAGTCCAGGTTTATTTTATGATTGAATTAATAGCATTTAAACATTTTCTGTTTTAAATATAGCAAGATCAACTTTACACCTGGGCTGCCGTTAGTCAACCCACACACTCGCTGGATTACACAGAAGGGCAGTTTCCCAGGAGAGTCCCGTCTGTGTGGCCATCATCAAAACCTCCTCATGAAGAGCACAGGTCGAAGAAGGCCGAAACAGGTAGGACGTGGGAACAGCGATGCTCTGAACTTGGGCAGCATAATGTATCTCTGCAGTACGCACTGGGTAGTGAGTGTGCACTTGTTTTCTAAGTGTTTTTTAGTGTAGAATTTGCAAATGACTTAAAATCACTGGAGGCTTGTTAAGTTGAAGATTCTTCTGCCACATATTCAAGGGAGCCAAGTTAGAGTGTTGGAGGACAAGATACTGAAATTCTCCAGTAATTACTCTGTACACTGAAGGGTTTTTTAATTCATGTTTAATTTTAATTTTAATTAATTGTTAACAGACTCAATATGATTTATACATACAAGTCTAAGAACATAGTGATATTTCCTTTCTTCCGCCCTCCTTCGTTCTGCCTTTGTTTCTTTTTCTTTTTAGTTTTTGAGACAACATATTTTGAATTTACATTACAGTAAAAGTCTTAATACTTCACCAAATAAGAAGTTTCACATGTGAAAAGCAGAAACGCCCTAGTTTAGGGGGAATATACACAATAGCTAGAAACAATAATTGATCAGGTGTACATTGAAGTTTAAGAGCCACTTCCCTAAAGTATGCAGCTGGAGCCAGCCCTAGAGGTCAGAGGTTGATATTGCATTTGGGATGAGTGGGACCCAAAGAGGCATTTCTGACTACTGTGTTCAAAGAGGATGATGATCACGCCATCTCTTTTCTGTCGATCTCTTCACTGACTGCTTTCTTTGTATTTTTCTTATTCCTTTTCTTTTGGAGATATCTGAGAGAGAAAAGATAGAGATATGTTTTATTAAATCTCAGTTTTATGTAGTTAATAACGGATTATGCAGTATTCAGATGTAAGTATTTTTTCTTTAAACTTTTGCTTTTGGTTCTTTTATCTCTTTGTTCCTTTTGATGTCTTGAAGTATTTTGTGGTCTTGCCTGGGAAGATAGTGTGAGGTTAGCCTCAACTTTATTTGGAAGAATTTCAGTAGGATATTGATCCCTAAGCCTGATTTTAGGAAAATACCCTGTCACCAGAATTGAGAATCATATCTGTGTAACAATGCTTTATGAAATTTTGTTGTTTTATCCTTTGTTCTTCATTTTGTGTTGTAAATTCCAACTTTCTCTGGGTAGACTAGGAATATTGACTTCTGATGCATGAATGAAAACTGAATAGAAGGGAAGAATGGCATTTGTAATTTGCATCCTGACAACATATTCCTAAGTGGTAGCATGGGTATTAGAGTTAAGAATTTTGATTTTTTTTTCCTCATTGGCTCACAGGGAGAAAATACTCCTAAGAAAAGTAAACTGGACTGGTAGCAAGAGAGCAGAACCCAAGAGTGTGCAGCTTGGACTCTTTTTTTTTACCAGCTTTGTGATCTCAGACACATTTCCTACCACTGTACTCAGTTTCCTCATCTCAAAAATGATGATGAGAATAGCAGCCACTACACAGGGCTGTTTTGAGGATTATATGTGTTTGTGTGAACCACTAGAATACTGCACTACCTGGCTTAGTGTTTACTATTATAATTATTATTGCAATTATTTCATGTTGTTGCATTCCTCATGAGTTCCCTTTAAAACTTTATAGTCTTATTCTTGTCCCTTGTCTGAAATTTTTGCTGATTCACTGCCCAGATGGCTGCAATGGCCAGGACTGAGCCAGGTTGAGGCCAGAAGCTTCATCAGGTCCCTTTGGGTGGTAGGGACCCAAACATTTGGGCCATCTTCTACTTTGCCAAGGTCATTAACAAGGAGCTGAATTGGAAGTGGAGTAGCCAGGACAAGAACTGGTGCCAATATGGGATGCCAGTGTTGCAGGTGGTGGCTTTACCCTCCATGCCACGAGGCTTTCCACCATACCCCCAACCTCACACCACATGTCCAAAATTCTGCAATAAGGAACCCAGCTAGCTTCCTGCTTTTAACCCCATCTCTGGAGGGATGTTTTTAGGAAGTATTCCTCTTCTTTCCTCTTTTTACCAGTGTACTGAATGAGAACTTTGACCTCAAATTTCTCTTTTTTTCAGTATCCAGTGGTTTTAAAATACTACTTGGTATTCCTTGAAATAACCAACAAATAAGAGATGAAATATAGGAAATGTTCCTTGTAGGACCCCCTTGTCACATTAAGGCTCAGCAGTTAATCAAGGGCCAAGATGGAGTCTCCTAAAGCAGTGATCTGCAGAGATGTGGGGACTCCAGCATGGTAGCACCAGAATGAATGAAAGTATTTTTAGTGTTGAAAGGAAAAATACGCAATTGAAAAAACTGATCCCACTAGAAAATTTTTCAATTTTATTGAGATACTTTATAACTTATATTCTTATCCTATATCATTGATTAGGGTGATATTTACATGTTTTTTTCTTTCCTACTATGTGTTTATTTTTCTAACTGAAATATTTACATTCTAAAATTTTAGGATACTTTTAAAAAGTTATGGAACATTTTGTCACTGTTATGCATATTGGAGGAGCACTTGACAGAAAGATAATTAAAAATGGAAATCTGAATTTGAATTTTACTTTGGTAAAAGTTGATAGTTGGAATTGAGACCATAAAGTTTGTAATCTAAATTTTTCTTCATTATTTGATGTCACTTGCACAATATCAGAGCAAGTAATTTTTAATACAGTGACTTGTCTCCTTTTAAACTATGCATTCTTGAAGAGGATAATGAAGGTAAGTAGAAGGTAATTTAGCTTCATGGCTTGTTTTCCTCCAGTTGATCTGTTTTATAAGCCCCCCAAAGCTGTAGAGCATTCTTTTGTTCAAAGTGATCTAATGATGCTTCCCGAACTTTTCCTGTTGTAGCAGGAAGACTGGAAGACTCTCCCTTTGCGTAGTTTCATTCCCAAGGATACTCACCACTATCTCTCTTCAAGTTGGACAGTCATAAAAGAGAAATTCCAATAAAGCATTGCAGAGAATCTATTGCTGTTTTATATCACTTGCACACTTTGATAATGTCATTAGTATTTGCTGTGTAATTAACAGAGGTTTACATGTTACTGTGTAGGTGACATCCTGGTTAAGCCAACTACATGCAGTATTGACCCCTTTCAATTTTGATTTACATAGAAGAGTTCCATGACTCTTTTTTGTTTTTTAAGAAGTAAAACTTGCAGATCCATCTTAGAAAATTGAGAACTTGGTGGGTTTTTTTTTTTTTTGACTTTTTATTCCTTCCAGCACTTCTTGAAATTGGTTACTAATTTACATGTGTAGCTATTCTTATTTGTGCTGGTGCTTCTTCTGCCTTTCTCATGTATCTTACTTTAACTTTTCTGTGATCCCTTCTGTTAGAGGTTTCTCTTCATCTGCATATGTAGAGGAAGGACCTGACCATTCTTCATACATATTTGCTGAGGTGAAGTCTTGGTGCCTCTCCCCATTAGTGACTTGCAGAAGGGCTGCGGTTCCTGTGAATTCTTGGCTCCCATAATGGCCTGTGTGTAGTTAAGCACTGGCTTTTTAGATGAGCTGAAGGTGTTAAACTTGACCTTTTCAAGACTATAGCCTGACTGAAAAGGAAATTAGAATGCAATTTGCTTTAAAACTTGGTGACAGAAGCACTGACAAGAAGAAATGCTTTCTGGTTGTCTTGTTTATTCTTTATCTTCACTCTTCATTTCCTCTGACTTACTTGCTACACCCACCCTCCCACACCCATGGTGGTTCTCTTTGTTGGACTATCACATTTTATTCAGATCTCTATCATCTCAATTAGTTATGTATCATAATTTATCTATTTTTATATACACATGTCTTCCATGTAGACTTCTGGTATTTTGAGATTTCTTGGGGTATTGTATATAGTTCAGTGTTTGAATGAATGAATGAATGGATAATGACTTGTTGGGAAAGACATAAATGAATAAAATGTCAACTGAACAAATGAATGCAAGATTTGAGGGAATTTTTTGTGTGTGATAAACTAGTTCGTGGACCATTTTATAGGCTCAGTGTCAAGTTTCAAAGGCCATTTATCAGATTTACACAAAACTAATAAGACAATTAATTTGAACTTTCAAATTCATGTAGAACAGAAGCAGGGTGTGAAGATGTGAACAGTAAATTAACAATTCTTATTTCATTTCTGGAAAATCAAGTCCAATATGTTTCTTTGAAAATGTGAATGGCCAAGAAATAGTGGAGTATTGATTTTAGAAGAAAACTTGGGCTCAGAGAACTGTTGAAGAAAATAAATGGGAAGAGATAATGGCTGAAACATTTTATGCAGAAATCCTAAAAAAGTATGTTTATGTGCTGACTGACTGAATTTTAATCCACTTTTGTTCCAAAAGAGATTTGAGTAATTTATAAATATCTAAGATGGTATACAAAAGAATAACAAAGAGAAATGTACCAAACTAAAAGGAACAATAAAAGGAAATTGAGATAAGCTAGCACATTGAAATGTATCTCAAAACCTGTATTTTGTTAAAGGTAATTAGGTATTTATCCCTCAGCTTCAAAGCAAAAAGGGCAATGTCAACAATCCTGAATCATCCACAGTGCCCATCGGATTGAGAGCAACATACTTTGAGCCTTAATATCCAGAAGAAGTATCTCTCGTGGTTCTTAATAAAGGAGCTTCCGTGGGATATAATAGATGTGTTCTGTCCAAGTACTTTAACACGTGCTCAGTTGAGGTAATGCAGAAATCCTATACAGGGCCAAGGAAAGGTTGATAGTGTTCTACCTCTCTGAATTTCTCATTAAATGAAGTGATAAAATATGTGATCCGCACAGTATCTCCTACAGATAATTCTCCATTTTTTGTACAAACACACACAGGAATAATTTAAAAAGTTAGTGGAAAATGGAATTAAGAGGTAAATTTATTTTGTGCAAATGATTTTTTAACCTTGTCTACTTAAAGGTCTATTTATTTGAAGGGCAATTACAAAAAGAGCGAGAGAGAGATGGTGAGAGAGATCTTCTGTCCATTGGTCCATTCCCCAAATGGCCACACTGGTTGGGGCTGAGCCAAGCTGAAGCCAGGTGCTGGAATTCCA